ATTTCCTGCTGTCAACCTGAAAAATGGCCTCTCGTCTCTGCTTCTCTCCTTCTCGCCGACTGCGTCTGTTCGCTTCCCCTCTGCCCAAAAGAGAGTAGCCGGCCGTGCTAGATTGCAGCCCACTTGGACAGCCGGAGGGTAGAGCAGGCCCGTTGGCTGTCTGGCCGACTGGCTTGGAATCACTGAGATTGGCCCCGATGGAAGACGAGATTTCGCCTCGACCACGAAGTCCGGCGACTTTGCCGTTCTTGGCAATACAACTTGCAGTACTTTTAGCTTTTGTGGGTCCACATGCGCCCGAAGGGGTCGAAGCATCGGCCACTTTTTGAGAGGTGCTGCTTCTCTTACTTGTCCTAATACTGCTGGTGCTACCCACCGTTGAGGATGAATCGTGTCCAACGTCGGTATTCATGATTACCCGAAGATGTTGCCGGTTTTCCCGTCGCTCGGCGTCTCGGCGTTGTTGCGATGCAAGGAAGGCCGATCGGCGGACTGCAAGATTATCGAGATCGAGCTGAGTGACCAGTTGCGTTGACGGATGGACGAGACCAAGAGTTTTCTGAATTCAAGTAATTGACAGGGGTGGGGGTAGATAAAGTAAAACTAACAAATCGCCATAAGTTATCCATCAAAATACCATTTGATTCTGTTTTCAATATCCAACAATTTCGTTAGGCGCTTAAAAAACGCATAGCTGTTCCCTTCATTGAGCATCGGATGATAGGCCTAAGCTTACCTTAAAATTGTCTAAATATGCATCCAAATTAACCTTATTTATTCAGATTTAGCTGCACTTCCTATCTCATCGGATGCTATAGTGGGATTCGAACCGTGTATTTGTGGGCATAGAGGCGAACATCTCATGGCTAGAAGCACTGTAATTAGCCACAACACAATCTAAACGTGGTGCATAACAAAAAAAAGAAATATTCATAAAACCGCGAGTTGTAAAATGTGATAGCTTAAGAAGATGTTACCATGTCATAGCATTACACTCAGCCATGCCACTCGAAATATTTTATCGTTCAGGCTGAACTGCCGTTTCGACCCCGACTAAGTAGCAAAATCTATTGACAGTTTCTAAGTCTACTCATTGGGAATAAAGTAGTGTTTTCGATTGTACCTATAAACAAAATTTACTTCATCTACAATGATTAAATTATCAAAATTCTGAGTTGGACCGCAATTTCAACCTCGTCTGGATCACATCAGCACCCACAACGAAAATCGGGTCCAGCTAGTGCAGTTTACAAATTCACCAAGTTCACTCCTACGACACACTGCTACGTGTATCAGTGGGTCACAGGACAGACGTGAATTTCAAGGCTAGCCAGGCCTCTTCCACAACATATTTTGTAGTGTGTTTTTTGATGGATCAAACATGTATTCACTGTTACATTTGACTACATTAATTATATTCCAAGTGAGTAGGTTTCAAAAATCTCAGTAAATCTTGAATTAGGGTGAGGCAAAGTCGAAACGACAGTCCATCCTGGACAAGAATACCTTTTGGGAGGCAAGACGAATTGTAATTCATTTGCATCATGAAACCTACTTAGCTTCCATTCGCTCATCACCTTATGCCAAATATGGTGAAAGCAGCTCTTATTCAAGAGCTTATGGTGGTTTTGAAACCCACTTATTCAGAATATACCTACCAAGTTGCTATTGAAAATTAAATTTTAAGTCTTGCATCACTTTGGCTTAACTAACTTAACCTGTGTTCTTATGCAGTATATGATCATTTTGACTCACACGGGCATTTCATCATTCTAGCAAAACGCTAAGAGGATTACCGCCAAAGGCATATTTGCCTTTTAACTATCTTGTACCAGGGCCGATTAGTCAAATAATAATGTGAATCATTGGAGCGGACGGCCTATAGAAAAATCATTGCTAGAATATGCTTAAGAATAAAATTTCACGACAAGAGCACACATGGACTTGAATTTCATTCCGATAATTAAAAAATCTAATTATAAATTCTTAATAATAGTACCTGCTCTTACAACACTACTATTTACTTAATTACTAACTAAAACCTCATTTAAACTTGAACGGATGAGACGTTAAAAATCGGGTGTCCCATTATTTGACTTAGGCCTACATCAACAAGGAACCTATCAGCTTTGTGAAAGAACTATTTTGAGTTTGAACTGCATTCATCATTCTATTTATTGTATTGCTTGAACTTATCAATGATAGCAGACGATTAGTACAAATAGGTACAAAACTTAATTTTAGTCGGGCGTTAAACATTTATGAAGATGAATAGGGCATGCTGCTTCCATACTAAGTGCTTTGGCCTACCTGGAACAGGTCTCAACGTTGAATGCGTAAATTTGGCATATCTATTTTGACTAGTGAGTTTAATGAAGTATGATAAACCTGCAATAACTTGAGTCAGGCTAGATCGCTTAAAGAGATTTAAGGATTGACAATTAATTTTTCTCAGAATGAAATGAGTAAGCAATACAATGAATTAAATTTCACTCAGCCTTGTCTCCAAAAAAAGTTCTCGCATTCAGTTTGCACTGTCACTTCAATCTCGCCACAGTTTCATAGTACCCTTGGCGAACTCTAAATCGAATCATGCATATAAAATGGAGAAAGATTACCTATTCGCCGCACATTGACGAGCGTCATTAGGTAGCAGGGCAGATGTGACTTTGAAGGCAAACTAGGCCTCTCTCAAAATGACATTTTTAGTGAGAATGAAGATGAGACAAAGTTATATTTTTCATAACAATCAACCACGTTACTTATACTTGAAAAAGGTAGTTTTCAATAATATTATAAAATCTTAAAAAAATATTTTGAAAAGCCCTTCGAAAATACGTCTTCGTAGTCCATTATACTTCATAATATGACTAGAATGGTATTTTCTCGTCTAGCATTCTGTCAAGATATTTGCTTCAGTACTGATAAAATTTCAAAACAATTTAATGCTTTAATACATTTTCACATATGATTACGACATAAGCATCAACTGAACCAGGATACTTACTCTATGAAAAGGAGGATCATTTCGCTTCTCACCCGCCACTCGGCTGATGGATCGCTTGGTCTGCAGTGAAGAATCCAAGTCTGCGAATTCTGCGGAATCCAAGCTGTCTAGTGGTACGAAAAACGCAACAGGTTTTGAGGTCATCTCGGGTTCAGGCTTTTCGTTCGTTTCCGATTGTTCAGACAGTTTTCCGGACTCCAAAAATGGAGGTCGGGGTGGCGTAAGCTTAGCAGACTTATCTGCAAATTGTCCCTTTTTCGCCTGATCGGATGATGCAGAGAACGAGCCAGTTGCCGGGGCGTCAACCTTTGCGGCGCCAGCAGAGGGATGGCATTTGAGACAAATAGGTTGATTGGCTTGGCAAGTAGTCCAATCACTGTTGCGTGCAGGCATCCCACCGAATCCGAGGCACTGAGGCGTGAGGGCAGAATCAAAATAAAATGCATTCTGACCAGCTAATTCAGACCGTCTGCCTGCTGCACCGAGATTCGTCTTCCCACCACTTTCCCTGGATTCTGGTGCATTTTGTAAGGAATTGGATAATGAGCGATGATCGGACGTCAATTCTGGAGTTCCGATTGGTGATCGGTTTGGTTCCTTTCCTGCCTTCTTCTTCAACGTCTCGTGGTCGCCAGAGGCGTCAACCTTTGTTTGCGAAGAGAGAATTAGATTTACCCATTAATACTGAAATGATGAAAACTATATATACATATATATATATATATAT